GATGCTTCTGTAATGGTTTACATCATTGATCTGTATGATTTGAAAATTTAACTTTGTTATCATCGTTTGCTTGCATGTTATTTTTTAGCTCATGTTTATTCATGATAGTCTTCCTTATGCGTATGGATTGATACTCCTATGTTTTTATGAATTATAATGTTACTCCCTTTGGGTTTTTCCTTTGCTTCGTGCTTATTGAACCGATTTTCAGACAAAAATAGGAAGTGTTGTTATTGTAAAAAACGGTTAAGACTTTCAAAACAATAAACGTATATCATATCACACTTTCAAAACGAAAAAATAAGTGACACATCCCGACCCAAATCGTGGCGTGACGGCCAGCACGCCTCGGATGAGCCTTATATGTATATTCTCATCTTTACCTAGCATGAGGCCTTTTAGAAGCTCACTGGCTTCAGGTTCCATAGGAACTCCGAAGTTAAGTGAGTTCGCGCGAGAGCAATCCCAGGATGGGTGATCCACTGAGAAGTTCTCGTGTGAGTTCCCAGAAACAAAACCGTGACGGCGTGGTCAGGGCCTAAAGCGGACAATATCGTGCTACGGTGGAGTCAAGCCTGGGATGTGGTAGGGGCCCAGGCCGGATGTGTGCCGACGAGGACGTTGGGCCCCTAAGGAGGGTGATGAGCCTTATATGTATATTCTCATCTCTACCTAGCACGAGGCTTTTTGGGAGCTCACTGACTTTGGGTTCTGTAGGAACTCCGAAGTTAAGCGAGTTTGGACGAGAGCAATCCCAGGATGGGTGGCCCAATGAGAAGTTCTCGTGTGAGTTCCCAGAAACAAATCCGTGAAGGCATGGTCGGAGCCCAAAGCGGACAATATCGTGCTATAGTAGCCTTGAGCAAGGCATGGTTGGAGCCCAAAGCGGACAATATCGTGCTATAGTGGAGTTGAGCCTGAGATGTGGTAAGGACCCGAACCGGGATGTGACAACAAATGCACCACAACCCATAAACTAATTCGAATTAGGATGCGAGAACTTGAATAATTAAAGAAATAATTGTAATTAAATAATTATTTCACTTTTAGACACGAATTTGACTAAAATGCTTACATGTATTTAACACGATAAAAGTCGGAAAAAAATAAACTATTTAATAGAACCAAAATTGGAAGGAGGAGAAGCGTAGCGTTGCCCAAAAGCGGAAGAGTCCCGATTCCAGCAAACTCTGCAAATAAGAATCGACAGAGACAGAGGGAGCGCCCACCAACACAAAAACATATACAAACACAAACAGCCACTTTACTCTCAACACTCCAACCGAGTTCGAGTTCTGACTCATGACTCCGAGTTAAACGCTCCGCCCGTCCGCCGCCGCGACCCCAAAAACACAGAACCATGTTCATCAACGGCAACACCAACGCCAGCCTCAATGCGGCGGAGGACCCGGAATCCATCACCGCCCCGTTAATCTCGCGCCAGCGGTACGCCCCGAACTCCACGTCACAGGTGGCGCTGGTCGGCGCCAATGTCCGCCCAATCGAGAGCCTCGATTACGAGATTCTCGAGAACGAGTTCTTCAAGCAGGACTGGCGGAGTTGCGGGAAGGCCCACGTGTTACAGTACATATTCATGAAGTGGGTCTCGTGTTTCCTTGTTGGCATCGTCGTCGGACTCATTGCATTCTGCAACAACCTCGCCGTCGAAAACATCGCCGGCATTAAGTTTGTTGTCACGTCCAACATGATGTTGCAGCGCAGGTTGCTCCACTTTTACTTCAGGGTTGAATTTTGGTTGTTTTTTGTGGATTTGTTGTCTTCAATTTTGCTTTTTGTTGTTGGGGATTTTACAGGTTTTGGCTGGCTTTTGCCGTCTTCTTCTTCTCAAATTTGGGTTTGACTTTCTTCGCGGTTGTGGTCACCGCTTTCGTGGCGCCCGCCGCCGCAGGGTCCGGTATACCGGAGGTGAAGGCGTACCTGAACGGCGTCGATGCGCCCGGAATATATTCAATAAAGACTTTGCTTGTTAAGGTGACCAACTGACTCTGCTTTTGCTTTTGTAAGTGCTGTTGCATTGTGTAAATTGCTTTTCAGCAAAGCAGCTTTTGCCAATTTCCGTTGTGAACTGAGTTTTGCTTAATGTGTACGAAAGTAAGCAACTTGATAGTTGGTATTGCAATTACACACTCATGTAATCCGAACTTGCACATCGAAATATTATGTGAATTCTGCATATGATAATTTATGATCTCAACTGAAATTCGGATTGCAAAATTTCATATTTTTCTTTTGTTTCAGATTGTTGGCAGTGTTACTGCAGTGTCGTCCTCTCTTCTTATTGGAAAGGCAGGGCCCATGGTACATACCGGTGCGTGTGTTGCATCATTGTTGGGTCAGGGAGGATCGAAGAAGCATGGCTTGACATGGAAATGGCTACGATATTTCAAGAATGATCGCGATCGTAGGGATCTCGTAACGTGTGGAGCAGCTGCTGGAATTGGTGCATCCTTTCGTTCCCCTGTCGGTGGGGTACTCTTTGCTTTTGAAGAAATGGCATCTTGGTACATCAAGCTCTCTATCTGAACTCGTTTGTTTGGTCATTGCTTTTCATTCATAGTACTAACAAGTTGAATTCTCTTATACTAAACATCCTACACATTTGCATGTCATCACTTTGCATTCGTGACATACGGGTGTAAAATGGATTTCCAATTATATATATATTGCATATAACCCTAAGTGTTTCCGTTTGTATCAATATTCAATACTTAACCATACATATTGGGATCCAGCGGATTGGCACATTTTATTCAACCAAGCTTTTGTTTTGTAGGTGGAGAAGTGCCCTTCTGTGGAGAGCTTTCTTTACAACAGCTGTAATCGCAATTGTGCTTCGAGCTCTGATTGATGTTTGCTACAGCGGAAAATGTGGGCTTTTTGGTACTGGGGGACTGATAATGTTTGATGTCTATTCAGAAAATATATCATATCACATTACCGATGTGCCTCCCGTGCTTCTCCTTGGGTTTTTAGGCGGCATATTGGGCAGCCTATACAATTCTCTATTAACAAAAGTTATCCGAATATACAATATCATCCATGAGTAAGCACTTCAGCTTAGTCACGCATGCACAGATTAGTATTTTCAAAATGTTCTAAAACGCTATATTTGCTGACTGAGATCCCCTTGATGTTTTCCTTTGGCCAGGAGAGGTGTCGTTTATAAAATCCTTATAGCTTGTACAGTCTCCATTTTCACATCTTGTCTTCTTTTTGGATTACCGTGGCTTGCAACTTGCCGACCTTGCCCACGTGATGCAGTAGAAGCCTGCCCTACCATTGGACGGTCTGGTAACTACAAGAAGTTTCAATGTCCTGCTGGTCACTATAATGACCTTGCCAGCCTCATATTTAACACGAATGATGATGCTATTAGAAACCTCTTCAGCAAGAATACTGATTCTGAGTTTCAATATTCCTCGATGATCATATTTTTCGTCACCTGTTTTTTCTTGAGTATCTTTAGCTACGGGGTGGTTGTGCCAGCTGGTCTTTTCGTACCTGTTATTGTGACTGGTGCATCTTATGGGCGTTTTTTCGGAATGCTGGTTGGTAAACACTCGAATCTCAATCACGGTCTATATGCTGTGCTGGGTGCTGCTGCTCTTCTTGGTGGAACCATGAGGATGACGGTCTCTCTATGTGTGATTATTCTGGAATTGACCAATAATCTGTTATTGCTGCCATTAATAATGGTGGTTCTTCTTGTTTCAAAGACAACGGCGGATGCTTTCAATAGCAATATATATGATCTTATTATGAAAGCAAAGGGTCTTCCCTATCTGGAAAGTCATGTTGAACCATATATGAGGCAGCTGACAGTAGCGGATGTAGTAACAGGGCCACTTCAACTATTTCAAGGCTTTGAGAAGGTTGGTAACATAGTACACGTCCTCCGTACTACAGGGCATAATGGGTTCCCTGTGATTGATGAGCCTCCGCTTTCTGAAACGCCCGTTTTGTTTGGTATAGTCCTCCGTGCCCATCTTATTGAATTGCTGAAGAAGAAAGCATTCGTGTCCAACCCAGTTCTGGCGAGCACCGATTCGTTTAAACTCTTCTCATCAGTGGATTTTGCCAAGAGGGGTTCAGGCAAAGGGGACAAGATAGAAGATATAGAACTGACCGAGGAAGAGATGGAAATGTTCATCGACTTGCATCCCTTTACTAATACTTCACCTTACACTGTTGTGGAAACGATGTCACTGGCAAAGGCTCTTATACTTTTCCGAGAAGTTGGCTTAAGGCACCTTCTAGTGATACCCAAGCTGTCCCATGTAAGTGCAAATTCCTTGAAGTTTTTGTAGCTAACATCACGATCTTATGCTAAATTGCTAATTATTTATCAATCCATCTAAGCTCGAATGATTCCTTATAGCAGTTTTCTTACTAATTGCTTGTCATATCTACGCTGCTCGATTGCAGAGAACACCCGTGGTGGGTATATTGACGAGGCACGACTTCATGCCAGAACATATATTGAGCTTGCACCCTATGCTGGTGAGTAGCAGGTGGAAAAGACTAAGATTCCAGCTGCCACCTCCGCCAAAACTCATTTAGGGGCATTTTCAGCCTAGCATTGTAGTTCCCCCCCCCGAAGAAGGTCTCGTAAATAATCTTCATTCGACGGTATGAAATCATGACACGTCCGGTATCTCGTTATTTTTCGAGTTTGTCATGGCCTCGAGAGCTCAAGACCGGAAGGGCAGTAGTTTATATCGTTAGACAGCATGATAAACCAGGAATTTGTACCCAGCCAAATAGAAGGAAAATAAGACGGTGCAACTGTAAAAAGCTATAATTTAGTTACTTTTTTCTTGTAATATTTACGACGGTCCCAATGTCTCGTAGATTTTTACAGTTTAACTTGTTCATTTTCCCAACTAAATGGTTGATCCCACACAGGATAGTGAAGAAATTACAGCTAAACAACCGCTGCCGGAAGTTAAACATGCGAAATCACGGCGAAAATACAAAAATTGGAACCCTGTCGGAACTTGCTTCGATTTGGTAATCAAAGAATTACACATCCAAAGTATGTTCAAGGCGAAAACGACGTCGAGAAAATGGCCAAAACGAAAAGCAAACTTGTGTCTGTGAGTCTGACCAAATTAAATTTTACATGGTAAGTTGAAAACAACAGTGAGGGAATAAGAATGGAGAAAGATTTCTCTACTGCCCTCTCTTGACACTTTTGAGGTAGTCTGCCCTTATTGTCCACAACTGCTCTCCCACCGATTTCATCTCCGGCCGATCAACTCGGATGGGGGCTGCACATTGGATTGCCAATTCGAAGATTTTCATCAGAACCTCTGCATCTATATTTTCCTCCATCAAAGGATCAACCATTTCCGCCACGCGCCCTTCATTCAACTTCTTGAAGGCCTGCAAAATGTTGAAACCAGATATAATCGTTACAATAACATGACATTATAATACCACGTAATCATATCACATTTTAATAGCACGCTATATAATTAGTGATTTTTATCTTGTTGAATGTTGACTATACTATTTCTCGTCAATATTTCTTAGCGGCGCAACTTACCCATCTGAGGGTCACCCGCTCTTCAACAGGTCTCTTCAACTCCACTGGACGACGGCCAGTCAAAATTTCTATTAGTAAGATCCCAAACGAGTAAACATCACTTTTTGGGGTGAGTTGATAGGTTTTCATGTACTCAGGGTCAAGATAACCGACAGTTCCCTTCACTTTGGTTGAAATGTGTGTTCGATCTGAGTCCATCGGGCCAAGCTTTGCAAATCCAAAATCTGCCACTTTGGCTCTCATGCTTTCTGTCAGAAGAATGTTGGAGGACTTCACGTCTCGATGGATGATTTGCTTTTCTGTTGCGAGATGGATAACAGATTAGGCATCAATCAGGTTGACAAATCAAAACCAATTCTTCATTCGTATCCCGAAAAATAAAGCGTAAGCAAAAACTGTGATGCATGCATTAAATGAAGAGTTTGTTACCAGCATATAAATGAAGATAGGTAAGGGCGTGAGCAACATCGATGGCAATTTCAAGTCGCTGGTTGAACTCTAGGATTTTCCCATGCTGACCTGCCAGTGTAGCAGCATAATTATTTACGATCTCATCACTTTATAAATCAGAACTAGCTAATGTTATGAAAGGATTTGAGTAAGCTTACAATCCAGATGTTCTCTAAGAGTACCGTTTGCCACATACTCCGTAATGATAAGGCGCTCATTTCCTTCTTCAACATAACCTAGTAGCTTTACGAGATTTCGATGATCAATTTTGGCAAGCAGTTCAACTTCACTGCTGAATTCAGTTTGTAAATTCTCAAAGTATTCCTGTTACAAAGTTTCCATGTTAACAAAATAGCAATCATTTGATTGAATCACTGACATGAGAATAAAAATTTCCTTAAAAATCCACTTGAGTGTTCGATAGAAATATTGCCACCACGAACACTAGTAATTCCACAACAAATAATGCTATGCAGAAATCCGACCATGTAAGCCTACTTCAATGTTGAAATATTGAACCACGTCACAAGCATACAACTTCAGCATGTTAGTTTTCTAACTGAACCCAGTACACACAACTAGTCAATTCACTGTTAGGGCCCAAAGGATCCATTCATAAACAAACTGGCAATTACCAATATTTCATTGAAAACCCACAACAAAGTTTTAACATAGAACTGTCCATACCTTCTTTGCTCGTTTAATGGAAACCACTTGGCCATCATCTAGCTGGGCTTTGTATACAGTTCCAAAACCTCCTTCACCAACTTGTTGTGATTGAGAGAAGTTGCGAGTTGCTTTTGCAATCTGATTCAAACTGAGATGCACTGATCCAAGTCTACTGAGTTTTGGAGACATTGAAAATCGCGGACTAGGTGGCACACGATGTGGACTTGGTGGCACACGATGCGGACTTGGTGGCGCACGATGTGGATTTGGTGGCACACGATGCGGACTTGGTGGCGCACGATGTGGACTGGCCAGGATCTTTTCAGGACCAGAACTCACTTCAAAAGAAGAAACTGAATCCACTGCAAAAGGATAATCAATTTAGCATCAATAACAAAATAAAGAAGTCAGTGAGGAAACTAATAGAAGGTAAACTAATAAGAGGCAACAAAAATGCAATTGTTCTCCGAATTGTAGATAGATGGGCTAATGCAAGAGACTCACTTGAATTTGGCTCCTTTGCAAGAACTTTGTGAGCACTTTCTCTCCTTTTTTTGAAAAAGCAAGGACAAAGAAAAACACAACACGCGAGAAACATTCCACTTGCTGCTATTCCGACTTTTGTCGTCGCAGACAGAGATGCAAAATCTTTCTTTTCTTTGTTGTCGAAAGTAGATTTATCCCTTGACTCCTTCTGCAAAAGTTTCCTCACCGTCCTCAAGGGAAAATCAACTGCAAGAGAAGCAATACTTAATGAAGGTCCTAAAAGCTTTACATAAGTAATAAATCAACTTAAAACAAGCAACCGAAGTAATATATCATATCAATCATACCACGTGAAAGGTCCAAAGCACAATGGTAAATGCCAAGGTCGCCTTCCAAAATGCAACCATTTGCATAGTATGTCTGAAAAGCCGTGCAGAAGAAAGCTTTTTCCACTGAATTCCCATTTATGTAAAACAATTTGTGACCATGAGAACTTGAATAGGCAATGTGATCGCTACATCCCCTTGACTGTATAACAAACTCAGAGGCAAAGATTGCTGGCAACTGCACAAACAGCAATAGACTTACCACTGTGATGGCCATTCTTAAGGGGATAATCTGTTCAACTCCCGTTTTGGGACGGACAGAATGATGGAACATCTAACTTTATTCTATTCTTCGTCAAGTTGTTGCGAAGAAAAGCCCAACCTATATAGAAATTCCAAAGCCCACTAATTTAGTGTTTGGCCATCACTTTCGAATTCAACCAAAGTCTATACAAAACTCAGGTCACCAGATTGACAGATGAGAGAATCCCAAAAACAAGAAAGGAGCTGATCAAAGTTACTGACAGTTTTCGTTTCTGCCAGTACTGTTACCGATAATTAGGACCTCAAATTGCTCCAAACCAGCAAGATTCTTATGTAACAGCCACTGAAATGAGCAATTCGAACCTCGATTCGTTACACAGTGGTTGAAATCCTCATCAAACGAAACGGATGAAAATTGAGTTACATATCTTCACATAGTTCCCCACTAGAGAATTCGATTTCTTGACGTGCCCACGAATTCAACCAAAGTCTTCAATAGCCAATTCACAACTGGAAATAGGAAAACTATCTAAAACCCAGCTGGTAAAAGTATCCCAAAAATCAATCCCAACACCTGGAAGCACCAAAATTCCAATCTTTTACTAAATTACTTGAAACCCAATTCACAAAACCACAAACTCATATGAAAATCCAGTCAATTCAAAACCCCAACATTCAGAAGCTCCACAGAAAACCCAGCTGAAAAAGTACCTCAAAAACCAATCCGAACACCTAAAACCACCAAAAGTTCCAAACTTTCACGAATTGCTTGAAACCCAATTCACAAAAACCAGAAACTTGTACAAAAGTCCAGTCAAACTCCAAAACCCAACATCTAAAATTCTCTACACAAACCAGTACTATGAATCTATAAGCAGCTCAGCTGAACAGAAAGAAAAAAAAAGCACCTGAATTTACAGTGAGAGGCGGCTGAGGAGGCTGGTATTGTCAAAAACCGAAACTGCTGCCTTGTTATTGATTGAATTTGCAGAGGGGAAAAGAAGAGAAAAGGACCGGCCTTTGACGTTGGTATTGGTGTTAGGAAGGAAGGAGGGGGAGGAGAAGATGGTGGATTCTGGCTGTAACGTAATCCGCGACGGCCGTCTGATGATGCTTGTACAAATTGTACTTTGTACGCACTCGATGCATTAATACAAACTAGCCTAATAAAATATAACCTCAAAATGGGAACAATGTGGATTGTTGACCGCTCGGAAACTGCATTGCATTGTACGCATCTGTCATCCTGCGGGGATAAGGGCTTTTTGGTCATTTTATATGTATACTATAATCTCTACCCCGCTGTATAAATTAGAACAGAGTCCATCCCTTCTCATTCTCATCTTGTCAACTTTATGATTTTTCTATTTCATGCGCATTCAAATAAAATTCTAAATTATTCATGTTTTAAAGGTCATATTTTGATTTAAGAGGCTTGTATCTCAATTGGTTACATGTATCTTATGCAGTTGGAATTTTAAATTCTAATCCCGCTCCACCAATATCACTAGTATCGAAAAACAGTCATTTTTTCATTTCTAATTTATTTTTAAAAATTTATCATGTATAAAATAATTGACGTCTAAACAATTCACAATACTAATTTAACATCTGACCTCCTCCCATTGCGCGTGTAGAAATGTAAAACGCTCTGGAGTGTCAAAAACTATGGGTCAATTGTTACTCTTTCATCAGAGTCAACAATTTAAAATTGAATTAATCATGTCAGGAGCATTTTCGATATTTTTTTTATATATTTGTAATGGTGAGTTCAGTATCTGATTATAATTGACTCGCAAAAAAAATGTGGGTTGGGAATTGTGAACCTGTTTCTAGTTTGTTGAAATATAGAGAAGAATCCTTCCCATTCGATGGATATAGACAAGAATTCCTTCCCTCCTTTTCAACAGTCTTTGGTAATGTCGGGTTGATTTACACTAAAGAGGAAAAAAACAGACTTTAATCAGCTTCTTGTTTAAGTAATCAAATGCAAATCTAGTTTCACGTGGTGTTGAATTTTCTCTAATACAACAACCTAACTAGCTATATTATTATTATTATGTAATGATTGATTTAATTTAAAAATAATCTTTTTCTTGTTTTATATTAATAGTTATTCCATGATTAAGATGTTGAGTGATGCTATTCACACATCCGTTTTTATTACACACATATGATTTCAATTTTTTGCCGTTAAATTAAACCAATTGAAGAAAATCAACATGGGAACACAATCTCTGCAAGTGTTTCATATATTTGGTTTTATATGCAACGATATCCTACTAAGTAGTAAGGGAGGTGGACGAAGCCGCATATCAATCACCATATCAAACTCGCTATCGAGACGAGTTGAACTTAAAACCCAATCAATTACAAGTTATAACTAAAAATAAACTACTAAAACTTATTGCTAGTGGCCCTACATTTTATAATCTAATAATTACAAGATAAAATTTTGGATAGATAGTTAATACTTTCACAAAGGAACGAATTCCACAGTATTTTAATCCATTTTATTGAACATACATTCGACTTTTAATGCATACGACTTCCCCTTTGTGAGAGTTCCGTAGTGAATTTTTTTCTCAAGCTTTATATATAAATATAAATATAAATATATATATATATATATATTTTTTTTTTTTAAGTTATAATGATAGTGAGAGCTTTCTAACATCGGTAGGCTAAACCTCAATTTCTAGGGTTCCGCATGTAATTGTCTCCTAATGGAAATTGACAACAGCCAAGAAAGAAACACGAGGCGTCGGATCCGAAAGTTAAATGTGGGCTGACAATGGTTGGGTTCATTAGGACTTGACCCGGCCGGACAGCTTCGTGTTTCGTTAAGGTCGTGCTTCTCTGTTTCCAGAACAGAAAAGGCGTACTAGGGCCTAAACCCTAAAACTGCATAACTGAACTCTAACCCTAAACCTCAAGTGTCAGACTTACCACCGGAGTTACTTGTTGAAGTCCTTGTACGGCTCCCTTCTGAGGAGTTCTACGTGTGTTTGCAAAGTTTGAAATGCTACCGTTCATGAACAAAAGTTCATCAAGACCCATCTCCAACGCTCCTTCCAAACAACTCGATCTTTTCGCAGTATTTTAGTCAAGAACATTGATCGTTGTTGAATATACCCGATGAGTTCTTGGTATTGCCTTTTCACGACGACGATACCATTGGCAGCAGCGGAGAGGAGCCCTTGAAAAAGCATGCATGGGCTTCTACTTTCATACGGGGCCACTCCAAAACGGTTTGAGATTCATTCGAACATTTGTTTTGTGGAATCCGGCAATTCAAAACTTCAAGAAGAATCCATTCCCACCCATTGAGATTGAGTCCAAGCCACCACTAAGTTTGGAGACTAATTATTACTACGGATTCGGGTATGATCATTCAACTAATGATGACTATAAACTTGTTGTGATTGATGACAAAGATGATGTTCTTTCAGTTTTCAAGCCAGAGTTTATAGCCTAAAACCCAATTCATGGAAAACTATTCAAAACTTGCCTTGCAATAGTTTTGGATTTCATTCAATTTATCTCGTGTTTTCGAACGGTGCTCTAAGTGGGTTGATGAATAACAATTAGACGAACACGGGTTAATTAATAATTTTAAGCCATGATATTCCCAGTGAAAAGTACCACAAGTTTCCCACAACAGAAGGTGATCAAAATCAGGTAACAAAGTTAGTGTACAACGATTTGCTTCATCCCTGACTTCTATTGCTTACAATGCATGTACAACTCACCTGTTTTTAGTTTCTTTTTCTTTTTTTTAATTACTTCATTGAACATGTAATGAATAATTAGGTATTAAACTCGTTATCTAAATGAGTCGAATTTAATATTTTTCACTTATAAATCTAGATGAATATTACTACCACGTCTTGTTAGTAGAATAGATAATCATGCGTTATTGTAAAGAAACAAGTTTCACCATATTTAAGTCTCATCCGATTCCACGAATATATAATTTTCTTAAAGTTGGAGATGGGAACAACATTCGAACATCACTAGGCTAAACCTGAATTGCTAGGATTACGTTTCACATATAATTGTCTCCTAAGGGCTCAAACCTAATATATGACAATGGAATATGGCCAAGAAACATGAGTTTGTCGGATTTGAGAGTTGAATGTGGGCTGAAATTGGTTTAGGGTTTGACTTTTCGATTTGCCCTGCTCCATTACAATTTCTCCATTGCATAATAAAATGTATATTTAAGTTCAGAATAAATTAAACTCGTTAATTTCGTCAAATTAAATGATGAAACGTCTCTTTGTTCTATTGTGCAATTTAAATGTGCACTTTTGTTGTGCATTGGGGAAAGTCTCCATGCTCTATTGCCATTTTGGAGCAAGTACAAAACATTTGTCCCAATAGAAGGAAAGGATATGAAGATCTTAGCTTGCTTTAGATAAATTTAGTGTACATTATTCTATTGTTTTGTCATTAAAAAAAATGAACAAAAGGAATTAAGGTGATTCATAGTGATTTTGGAGAGGTCAATATCAGTTAAGTGATTTCATAGAAAAACTGATTTAATGTATTTCTCCATAGAACTAGAAGTGATTTTAGCCCGCTCAAAATAAGGTTTTGATTTTAGACCAAATTCTTGGAGCAAGTCAGTATCAAAATCCTATGAACTTTTCTTTCATTGGCTTTTCTTATCAAATTGCAGAAAACCCTTTGATGTATGGCTAATTTTTTGTAACCTAGCAGTCTAGCACAAAGATACAATTTAGAAGACAGAAGCCTTTAAACTTATTTGGATTCGTGTGACCCTCCATCAATTTCAAGAGTTGAAAGGCACATGATGTGAGGTGAGAAGATATGTGGATATCATGTTTTTTGTCTTTACAAAAATTTCACCATCATATACACCAACATTGTTGAATTCTTGAATGGCATACATGACGATTGATCATTGCATTGTCGAGCCTTTCTAATTAATTCAAGTGGCGAAGAAATGTCAAATGATGTTTTTAAACGCAAACTAGGTCAGTGATTCGATTCCGTCGGGCGATAAAGGTGAAAAAAATTCATAAACAAATAAAAGTACCAAAATAAGCATGTTATTGGGCAAGGCCTACTTGTTGGCCCTTTTGATTAGATGTGTGCCAAATTTGCAAAAGCAACAATGTTCTATCTGAAGTCGTGTATTGTCGATTGGACGTGAAGGAACATATTCACTAATATTTTTTACTATACCTTCAAGTATTTAGCCCTATATCTATATGGCTATATGATAGTGCATTAGGTACCAAATATATGATAAGATTATGTGTTCCAATTGGCAATTAACGTGTTTTAATTGATGCCAATGTTAAATAACAACAATATCATAGAAGATATAAGGATATAGTATCTTAAGAATTTAGTATCCATGAGCACTAAGCATTGCTTACTTTACTACTGATTAGTCGCCTTTGCATATATTTTTGTGACGTTGATCTACTTGTCGACTTTACAAAGTTTTGTATGATTCATTGTCAATGATTTTATTCATTGACAACCAACCATAAAGGGCATAAAGCGTATAATGTATTATTGTTTTTCAGGTTACAATTGTTTCTATTACCATTAACGCATCCAACACAAAACTAACATTGCTGCTTAAAAACGGAACTAATTGCATAACATTTATGCGATCTATTTTTGTAAAGTCAAGTATTGTTCGTAAAGTAAACCAGTCGGGTTTTTTTTAGTAAACTATCATTTAACCCCTTGAATTATTGTGTAAGTGTCAATTTTCCCCTTTTAACTATTTTTTCAGACAATTTGCCCCTTACCATTACGTTTTGAGTTATTCATCAATTTACCCCCTAAACTTGTGACCATTGACCAATTTCCCCCATCAACTCTCATAATTAGTCAATTTGCACCCTACTATTAATTTTTAAAATTTTCCATCTATTATTCTGTTAAGTACGTATCCGCATGACTGCCTTTTAAGGGCAAAAAAGGACAATTTGCACCCTACTATCATTCTCCTTTAAGTAGGTTTCCCTACACCTTACCAGAGGTAGACGAGGCTAAGGGAAGAGGCGACGGGGTGTGGGCAGCTGCAAACTGCAAAAGCACCATATCAAATGGACTGAGCTGCAAACATCGGATGAGGGATGCGTTGGTGGCTGTCACTATTGAGTATATGTGACATGTCAGCAATTGCCACATCAACATGGTTTTCTATGTTAGCTTAT